CTCACTTTTAGTTTGTCTTTAGAAGGCTGTGGGTTTGGTTTAGTTAAGTTTGGAAACTCCGCGAGTATATCTTGGAATTTCGCTGTTGTTACTGGGGGAGTTTGAATCAAGTTAAAAGAGCTGATGTGACTTTCTTTGCCTTTTGTGTAATACGAAGTTTCTTTTAGTGTTAATCGCCGTTTCTTGGTGTCAACTAGAAATTCGTATCTCTCTAGAAAGTCCATCCCCAGTATTGCCAGATCTAAGTCGGCTACCGTGAAAACCCAAGGGAATTGCCTCCTGAACCCCAAATCTAGGGTTAAAGTTTTCTGCCCAAATGTCGCGATTTTAGTTTTATTTGCGGCTTGAAGTGTAATTGATGATGTTTCTCGATTAATCTCAGTTTTATTTTGAGGGATGATGCTAAGAGCGGCGCCAGTATCCACCAAGAAATTCAAGCCCGAGTTTCTGTCTCTAACATAAAACAAGCGACTGTTTAGGCGCCCCTCCTCAGTCGTCGCGACCTGGGGAGGGGTTACTCGTTTCCCGCTGACTTAGAGTTATGCTTAGGCCAGGCGCATGGTTGCATGCACTTGGTTGAGTTGACACCAAACTTCCAGTGGTACCAACAAAACTGCCCAGATTGTCTGGACATTTGTGACCTGTTTTGTGACTTGGATCGTGGTCGTTGTGGTGACCTGCTCCTGTTTCTATGACTCATTTGCATTCTGGTGACCGCCTCAGTGAGACTCTTAACACTCGCAATGAGTCCTTCTATTACGGGGTCTTTTGCTGATTCTACTTTTCGTGTGTGATTTATTATGCCTGATCCAGTTGGAGGACCTCTTTCCATTATTCTGTCGGCTATACGCGCTAAATGAGATAATGAGGTTTCAGGATCCTGTGCATCCAAACAGTGTTGGACGTAGCATGGGAGAGCTTGTATCCATCCTTGTTTTAGGACTGCTTCACCCACTGTGTTATCACCCACTAAGACTTGGAGGTGACGTAAAAACTGTGACGGCGACCGATCACCTAGTGTTTCACCTTGAAAAAGTCTTTGGATTCTTTGACTATCTGATAATGATAAACGGTTCATTATCTCTCGTCTTAAGATGGTGTATGGTTGTGGTGATGGTGGACTCAAAATCAAGTCACGGACTTCTTTGGCGACTGAAGGAGGAAGGATAGAACACAAGTCTTTATAGCGAATCCCTTCAGATTTGATATTGTGTCTCGTGAAATAATGCTCCAGTTGAGCAAACCACAACTCAGGATCACTACGATCAAATTCTGGAAGTCGGGATTTCGTAGTCATAACAGTGTCTATCTCCACTGACAAATCCTCCAGATTATGGGTTTCTATTGAGTCTGACATGAGGTATATGACAAATATAGCAATAAAGTTAGCACAAAAAGTGGTTACTATAACACGAATAACTTGAGATAATACGGAATAAACTAGTTATATACTCAAATTAGTTTATGGATAATCAGGTCTACTTTTACGATTAAGTAAAAAAAATGTTACTAACAGAAATGAGGTTAAATTTGTGTTCAAAAAGGGCTCACCAATTTCGCGCCTTAAAGTAACCCTCGTGCTATTGATAGAAGAAACCAGAGAAGTAGTGAATAGGTCTTTATTTCGATCTCAGCGCGATGACAGTGGAGCGTGGGATTATCTGTTCAGACAAACAAAGGCTCTCAACATTCAATATAAGATAATAGGGAATATAACGCTTATACAAAACAAGGAAGTGGATGAATACTTGAACAATACTGTTTTGGCATATGCTTGGTTGTTTGGGGTCAACTCTTAACCAACCAACCTAAGCTGTTACAAATGCACCGATCAGTTGGATAAGATAGTATAAAATAAATTTGAACTTGAAGACCTCAGGGAAGACAGGGTGGATTCGTCAGCATGATTGCTGCCAATTCTGAGTCATATCACCCGAAGTGTGTGCCCACTGGTCGTGGTTATCACGATGACTGAAGGCCGTTAGTGTACGTCTACCGATACAGCTCTGTTCGGCAGTCAGTAACTCGGTGTATTGGTGCTACATTTCTGACGATTCTTGCTACCTTGACTGACGTGCTGGTTGTGCTTTCCTCAATATCCGATGGCCTGATACCATCTGCAACAATCTACTGTGACAGATAACAAGCCAGCTTCCATTTGAAGAGGAAATTGTTAAATGATAATGGAAGTGGATAGGACACGCACTGGGGAAATCACCAAACTCGATCATGAGGCAAGCACCCACATGGAATCTGGAAGGGAAGGGGAAAAGAGAAAGTTCAAATAACATACTTTGTCGAGAGCCGGCAGCGAATATCAAGAGAATGAAGAGCAAGTGAAAATAGCTGGAAAGGATGGCTCAGGACAGGGTTGGATGGAGGTTGGTGGTGAATGGTCGATGCTCCCTCAGGAGGGATAATAGACACGAGCAAGTAAGTCTGATGTAGTAACAACAGGAAATTGAGAACAAGAGGCATATGTGTGCATCAATGTATTTATGAGCGATAATCCGTGTGTCATGCGAAAGCGAAAGATCCAAGGTCATAAGTTTTCAAGCATCTACATAACAGTCACTCGTTGCAAATGTACCAATTATGATAATCAATGAAAGAACTGCAGACACTGGTTGCAAAATAAGTCTGTCCTAACCATCTCCACGCGCTTAATGATATATCAATAAATTTCCAAACACGTATTCGAAACACTTTATTTCTGAATTCTGATTTGATTGGGCTGGTATACCCGGATTATAAAAGTGTTGTGTGGAATAGCGTTGTGAATCTCAGAATGCCTGTAGTATCTTCAGAGGTAAAGAACAGAAAAATGGACATCGCTGAGCGATTGCTCAGGTACGTCCTCACTTTGTCTCTAAAAGAATTGTCCTCATTTGGAATGTTCTACTCAACTAAGTGAACACAAGCCCCTCAGTGGAAAGCTGCATGGAGAGACCTGATAAATACGGACTTATACATGGATTACTAACTCCTACTTGGACTGGCCGTAATTGATATATATAAATATATATATGCAGACCTAACTACCATCATCACTACCATGTATCAACAGCTTATTCCTATCTTGCTTTGTTCACCGTTTTATTCGTACACTTCAATTTACTCACATTGTCTGGGTTACCAATCAGTTAACTTAATTATTTCTTCGTGAGACAACCGTCTTCTAGTTGTATTCAAGTTTCCTCTTTATTGTTTCTCACAATTCAACCAAACCAACTCATCCCTGGTACATTAATGATTATCGATTCCAGAAAACTTACACTCCTGAGTCAGATACGCTCACTCAGATTAACATATACATGAACCCACAAATAACTACAACAAATGACTAGAACTGTTATAGTCGAGTGGCTAGACTACAGCTCACTGTACATTCAAATTCAGATGGTTCAAATGGTTGTGGACGGAATAGAAGAAGCTTTCGCTTAACAGGCTTCTGTGTCTAGTAGCAGAGGATCACCAAATCCTCCAGGTAGGAACCTAGGTATGTTAACAATAAAAGAGGAAAAAGAAATTGGTAAATCACAGTATGATGCTGTCCTTGGTCCTTAAGAATAGGTCAAGTTGCCTCTTGAAGGACTCCTGAGAAGTCGCTTGGACTAGCTCGGACGGCAGCGAATTCCAGTTTTTGACAACTCTTAAGGAGTAGAAGTTATGTCTACATTCCGTTTTGCTATGTTGTGTCTCCAGTTTCTGGGTGTTACCCCTTAGGTTATTGTTCGAACTAAGCTTAAGAAGTGTTTAAGAGGATGTCCAGAAGTGTTAAGAATACTATAAGCCATTAATAAATCACCTCTAAGACGCCTATGCTCTAATGGGTAGAGGTCTAGTGAATGGAGGTGCTCTTCGTAAGGTCTAAATTTGAGTCCTCGGACTGATTTCGCGGCTCGCCGTTCGATACGCTCCAAAGTGTCCTTATCCTTTTGGAGTGAGGAGGGAGTACCATGTTTCTGTACTCTAAATGGGAATGGATAAAACTATTGAAGATTATATGGAAAGTTCTTCCGTCAAACTGGCAGAAAATGCCCTTCAGTGTTACCAGTGCGAGGTTCGCTCGCAAGGCATTTTTGTTACAGTTAACATAAGACATTAAATCGTAGGGCACCAGGACTCCTAAATCTTTTTCGACTCGGGATGCTACTGGAGAGGAGTTTCTTAAGTTGTAACTGTAGTCTGCAACATGATGCAGATGGACTACTCTACACTTTGAAGTGCTAAAGGTAAGTCCGTTATCGTCTCCCCAACTTTGAAGTAGAGTCAGATCCTCCTGAAGTGCCTGTATATCGTCTTGGTTGCGTATCTCTCTCCAAAGTTCCACGTCGTCGGCAAGTAATAATAAGTCTGACGTTACCTGTTGAGGAAGATCATTTATGTAGATCAAGAAGAGATGAGGCCCCAGTACTGAGCCCTGGGGGACCCCACTAGGACATTCCATAGCCTGAGATAAAGTGAAATTAACCCTAACCTTAAAGTGTCGATTTTTCAAATATGAAGTAAGCCAATCGATTAGAGGTGGTCTGATACCTAGTCGTTTGAGCTTATTGATAAGACACAAATGGTTGACCTTATCAAAAGCTTTTGAGAAAAATAGGTATATGATGTCAACCTTTCCCTTGCGATCGAGAATGCTTGTCCATCTGTCCACCGCAGTCAGCAGGTTGGTTATACAAGAGTAGCCCTTCCTGGAATCATGCTGTTGGGGTGAGAAGTTTAAGGACAGTAGATAGTCGTTTACACCGTTACACATCAGGGACCCCATGAGTTTTGAAGGTAATGACAGAAGAGCCACATTACCAGAGAGTTGGAGCCGTAACAAAATCACAAAGAGTGAGTGAAAAGAAATCGATTGGTTTATACAAGTTCATCACAAAAATATTTGATTTGGGATAAGTGGTATGGTGAAACATTGGACACTGTCTTTTAATGCTTCACTACTTTAATTTACTGGTACAGTTTACACTATCAGGTTTTCGAGAGAGTTGACAATGTATGGAGGTTCTATGTCTGGTAAAGATGATGAGTACGATTATCTGTTTAAAGGTAACAAAAGATCTAGCAATTTATTTCAATTGAAAAGTTGTACTAATCGGAGATTCGGGTGTCGGGAAAAGTAACTTACTCTCACGTTTCACAAGAAACGAGTTTAATTTGGAAAGTAAAAGTACGATCGGTGTTGAGTTCGCTACAAAGTGAGTCTGTGGGAAATATTTATTGTGGCATTTAGGAGCGTGGAAATTGATGGAAGGACTATAAAGGCACAGATCTGGGATACTGCTGGTCAGGAACGTTATCGAGCTATAACAGCCGCGTGAGTTTACAATCTTTATGTAGAGGTTTCAGTGCTAGATCTAAGAAACTGGCAAATATGACCTTTTCATTTTCGAGTTACTGTTGTGATAGTACTTGCTGTTCTTAATGACTGCACACAATACGTTGTAAAGATGATTGCGTCTGACAAAAACGCAGTTGTGCACCGATTGCTAAATGTAGCATTCTATCAAAGCGTCTCGACGTTATTCATTGTTTAGTAGTCTTAAAGTGCTTGTGTATTCAAAGATTTTGGCCATTATATTTACTTATTTTAATTAACCTGAATAATAATAACAGTCATCATGAACTTAGAACAATTTGTACCTGCAAGTGGACAGTCATTCCATGTATTTCCATGTGCAGAACTCTGATATTTAAAGTTCATGTTTTGAAAGCAAGACTTCAGAATGGTACTAAAAATGGGTAGTGGTTAACAGTGGAATGTTGGAATGGCGTTTCGTTTTGTTGATGTAGAAGATGAGACTCCAGTCCTGTACCATTCGCTTCAAACGCCAACGCTTTGTTCACTGAATTATTGAGTTCAGGTAGCAATGCAAGAAGACAACACGGATTGAATTAAACTTAGTTGCCGCCTACATAAAGAGGTTGTTGTGTTGAGTCACTCGTGTTCGCTGGTGGTATTGCTGAAAAGCAGGCTACTCTAAACCTATTTTCAGCAGATGTAAGTCAGTGTTCCATAACCTTGAAGTGATCTTATTCATATGAGTGGCTTTATTTCAGTTTTTAATAATCAACCACTTGATAAGAGAAGTTTCTGGACCTTATAGCGTTACCAAATTACGACTTGCTTCGTATCTTGAGATTTATTTTTCATATCAGTGTTTGGTAGCTTATCCACTTAATGTCTTAGTCGCCCTAAATCTTCAGTGAGTTTTATTTTGTGTCCACAGGCTAGGTTAGCTTATATCTATAAATGGACAGATGTCTAGACAAATATCCTGCTTCGCTGTACGGACTTAAGATGATATTCCTGTGTGTCCTGGATCTGCTTAAAGTTTGTAAGTGTGTGAGATGGTAAATGTAATACGACTTAAACGTCTATCCACTTGGTGTCGGTTTTGAACTAAAGATGCCGCTCTATCCAATTTGGTAGAGTGGACAAAAGCAGTCATAGAGAGTTTCAAAATAGCTGTCGTAAGTGAATAACTCGAAATGGTTTAGTTTGGCTTAGTAACTATACTTGGGTTTCTAAACTTCCAGTCGTGGTTTTTGCGAGAACCAGTGATACTACTGGATAGAACAAACTGTAGTGAGTGGGACAGCGTTGAAACACGCGATATGAATGATGGAAGCTGAATATTCCAACTGATATTTGTCATAATGTAATTACTAATAGATGGTTATTTAAACCTAACATGTAAACGTCTCTTTCATAATGCTCAGTCTGATAAAATGTCAAAGTGGTTTTATTAGATTCTCTACTTGTTGTCAATTTCGCCCAGTGTCCGCATAGTTCCTTAGTTTTATGCGCCTTTAAATAAATAAATGTAAATATTCATGTATATTAGAGTAAAGCCTGGTGACGATCTAATTGAAAACAATTATTTGCTTACATGTGTTGTTCCAAACTGGTTTTTATTGGATTCTCTTATTTTTGTAAATTTCGCTCGGTGTCCGCATAGTTCCTTAGTTTTTTCCCCTTTTAGTGTGCTTAGACTCGGTGGACATGATTTTTTACTGATCTTTAGTTAACATTACAAAACTTGATACCGGTAGAAACGAGTTGTCATTATTAGGGTGAAAATCCTGGTCTTAAGCGTCTATCCACTTGGTGTCGGTTTTGAACTAAAGATTTCGCTCTATCCAATTTGGTAGAGTGGATAAAATCAGTCATAAAGAGTTTCAAAATAGTTGTCGTAAGTGAATAACTCGAAATGGTTTAGTTTGGCTTAGTGACCATACTTGGGTTTTTAAACTTCCAGTCGTGATTTTTGCGAGAACCAGTGATACTACTGGATAGAAAAAACTATTGTGAGTTGGACGGCATATAGACAATCTCGGCTAACTCTTGTTGTTTAACTTCTATGTAGTAATAATTTCACTCAGTTTCCTCAGACGTATCCTATGACATTTTGACGTTTTCTCTTGAAGCTATTACCGTGGTGCTGTTGGTGCGCTGTTGGTTTACGATATCACAAAAAGAGAGACTTTCAACAATTTGGAACACTGGTTACTCGAGTTACGAAACAACGTAGAACTAGATATGGTTGTTATGTTGGTTGGTAATAAGTGCGACCTTAGGCATCTTCGAACTGTATTAACGGAAGATGCGAAGCTTTGGGCTGAAAGGCAAGGACTTTTCTTCATGGAAACGTCAGCTTTGGAATCCACCGGGGTTGAAAGTGCTTTCTATTACATTCTTAAAAGTTAGTTTTATATTTCAAATCATATGATGACTTAAGTTTTGATTGAGAAGATGATGTTAACTGGGTAAAATAGATTTTGTTGTTTTGGTGCTCTTTGGTTTATCATTTGCATAGATTACATTGGCTCACCACTGAACTGTAAATCTTTAAGGCTTTAATATTTAAGGAAGCTCGTTGGTTCGCATCAACAGACTACGTTTGAGGACAAATATTTTTCTAGGATGATGATGCTTCATCTCTGTTACCCCATCAAAGTATAGTATGAATCTGGTTGCAAGATGGTCTGTCTTCGTTTCTTAGTGAATTTCATGTTGGCACGCTCTACTTTACTGTACAAGCATATTCACTGCGTCTGTAACAGCAAAAGTAGGAAGTGAGTATTTACTTATGGAGCTGTGGCTCAATGGTCAAAGCGTTCGACTTCCAGCCACTAAGTCTCACGTTCAGACCTCGCTCAACTTACTTTGGTTTAAGCAATTGTGTAGCATCATTAATCTTCACACTTAGTGTCTCGTGCCCACGCATCCGGTGAGTGAGTTAGAAATATAAGGCTAACTTACTTTATTGTTATTGGTTTTTGTGACTTGATAAAAGATTGAATGTGACACATCAGGGTAAATGTCAGTGTTATTATCCGTCACACCTCTTGTATATGTCCTTACTTTGTCAATATGATGATGTAACGACTTGATGTTTACGGTTTATGGACATATTTAGACACAAAAACGTTGTCAAATCTGTGCCTTCAGTTTCATGTACGAGATATTCACCGTACAAAATGTGTGGTGAAGTAAATATTGAATGGTAAGAATTAGTAAATGAAAAGCCATCACACAGTATTGCGATGTACGATTTAATTCGAAGTATGTATCTGAATAAATGTAATTGTTTTAAATTAATTACGTGAACATTCCAGTTCTCCGTGGCATGAAGGTTAGTATTTTGAAGTGTTCGTCTTGCTGTGCTAATGAGGTATGTCAACCTGGACCGATGCACATATGTGCCTGGTCCTACGTTGTAGCTGACTGACTTCCCAGAGCGGATTGTTTTTATGAATATGAAAAGAACACAAGGATGAGAGTTTTGAATGTATAAGAGATTCTATGATGACCAAGGAGTGCCGATATGCTGACTATCACAAAGCGTAATGCAGAGTAGTTTTGTAGACTGATTGAGGGAAGTTATGGGCGGCTTAGTTGAAACTTGGCATCAGTCCATAAGCCCACTGACGTCTCGTGTGAGCCATGTTGGCAGATGCAGACTACTTAGTCGAGTCCATGAGACTATCGTAACCGATGGTTGAAGACTCCCTCCTGTATAGTAAGAACAGAGAATTAGTTAACATTGGCTTTAAAACTACCTCTATCATCAAGTCCCAGGTTGCTCGAACTATGAACGCTCAATAGTATTAAGATTAAACATTTTATCTGCTTTATCGATTCACAAAGTTTCAGATCTCACAGCGTTGTAACCTCATTGAACACACACGAACTTCCCATAGCAATTATATTTCGAAATCATCATAAAAATGGCTGGTTAATTATGATTATGTGAAAACGTAATGTGTTTTAGATGTAATTGTAGATGTTCGAGAGGAAACCCTACCTCATGGTAGTTGATACTCGTCATTATTGCGTACTTGCGACCGTGAGAGGGAACTGATGTTTCCCAGTGGAATGGAACTGATTTGCGTTGCCCAACGTCACAATATAAGAGGTTATCACCGAGCTATCCGAACCATAACCGGCTTCTCGTAGGAATCAGTTGTTTACAAATGATTGATCAGTGGAGTAGTGGCAGTGACCAATGTTGTGTTTGTCTGGTCTTTTTGTGCTACTGTTTGAATTCTACCAATCAAGCATGCAGTAGTCGTTCATTGAATTTTGTGTAAAACTGCCAAACATTTGATTTGTAGCCTTACTGTTCTTTTTATCATTTACATTGTGTCCAGCCATTTTCGAAGCTGTCCGTTCACATCCTCCAGTGAGTAATGTCGACATGAAAATGTCTCCATATCATAATCAACCGATCGTTTCACCGAACACAGACAGTTCAAACAGTGGACGACGGTGTTGTAGTTAGAAACAAGGGAATAATCAAATAACAATTTGTTTCCATTTTGTATGAAGAGAATTGATTAATTATTTTTCTGTAAACTATTATTGTTAATAATATTGATTGATTGATATCAGTAAATCGACAACAAATCGATGGACAGAATGTTTATGATAAATGTAAATTAGTGGTGGTTGCTGTTGTCTTTCTTGTTTTTGACGTTAACGATTACTGATTCGGTCGCCACTGTCTCTACTTATCCATTATTTATTTTGTGTGGATGAAATCATTTGCATTGACTTTTGTTTTGTGCACATTTTCACCTTTCACGTGTTCGCTTGTGTGTGCGTGTGCGTGTTTGTGAATTCAAAGGAGAGAATGTAGAAGTGAAGGCGAGTGAACACTGAATCTTTGTTGTGTGCATCATATGAGAGAAGTGATTTGATACAGTCACGAATGATGACAATTGAGTAAGTTGTTAATGAGCTTAGTGGGAGACTACACTACAATGACATTGCAATCATCATCATCATCACTACAATTTATTGTTTGTGCATGTGTACAGCTGTGTTTTTCCCAGTTCATTACTTGATTGATAACTTTCTAGTGAACTGTATAGTATCTCTTAACAAGAATAAATCTAACTGATGATTACATGCACATGGATACTGACTTATACAAGTACACACATTTTCACGGCACTATTCTTTTGTTCATTGTCTATCACTATTGTATTTTTACGAAATGAATACTTGTTTGTTTTGTTGATCAATGTGTGCGGAACACATTGTTTTGTATGACGCTGTAAACTGTGTTTCTCCTTGCTGTGAATTTCATTTTATACTAACTGTATTGTTATTGAACTATGCCAGATGATAACTGAGGTGACACACTATATTTTTAGTGAAAATACTAGTAATAGATGAGAAGGAACTGAATCTTCAGTAGAAAGTCCATTTTTCCAGTTTTATCTCTTTTAAACAAAAACAAACAAACAAATTTGTATTATATGTATTATGATGTGAACTGTGTTTGCTAATGAACTAATTTTTCTCTTCTTATCAACATAAATTGATTTTTCTACCTAGAGTCGGTGTGTTTTAGAGTTTTTGCTGTTGTCATGTGGTGGGATAGAAGTTTTCGGCAATACGATGTTAGTAAGCAGACTAAGGCTGAACTGCACAATTCATCCTAATGTGAAATTCAGTTTAGGTGTTTCGTCGTGATTTTGCTGCCTATGAATTCATTAGATAACTGTGGAGGGTTAAACACGGGAAGTGAATGTGCATAATGTTCTTTTGATAGTGTTAGTGAGTCATGCGCAGAGCAGGACGTAACACGGTTTTGTATTGGTGGAAGTTGTCACACCTCATGAGTATAGCGAGAAATCAGATTGACAGAAATGGTGTTAGTATGAGTGGTAGTTGTGAAAGTGAAGTATGGAGAATGAGTGGCGAAAAATGCACCGATCATTTGTATAAGATAGTATAAAATAATTTTGAACTTGACGACCTCAGGGAAGACAGGGTGGATACGTCAGCATGATTGCTGCCTACCTTGAATAGTATGAGTATTTGTGTTACTAAGCTACTGCAGAGTCGTAGTTGCAACATTTCTGAATCATGTAAGAAACATCTAATGAGTGCTATGGTTCCGTTGACTCCAAAAGGGTGAAATTCTATTCCCTGACACAACTGAACTTGAATCACTCACTTTATAGATTGATTTAGTCTAGTTATGTGATGATTGTCAGTTATTGATAGTAAAATTGGAAGCTGTGTGAATTTCTTGAAACAGGAACCCACTGAGATTTGAAAACTTACTGTCCGTTCAAGAAAACATTTTTAGTTTCACAGATTGATCCACTATTATTTACTGATGTCTTTTCCTTCTAGAAACCTGGGCAGGTTCTCACAGATATACGTTGATTTCCTCCTATGCATTTGTCACATGTCATTTATAATTAGTTGATTATCACACACAAGTGAGACACGTCGTAGAAAAATATCGCCTTGTATTTTATCAAAGTTTCATGTGGTCCCTTAAAATTCATTGTGACGTATACGATCCTGAAGTAACTTGGTGTTGTTCTTTTGTGATTGACCGGAAACATTTTGTGCAACTAATTCCCCGATAATTCACTTCTATCAATATCAGTGTATTTGTGCAAAGTAGTGCAGTTTAACAGGAGTCTCAACGATGTTGATTTGCCGACTATAACCGGTATTTAAGTGAGTGTTGTAATTTGTTCATGGTCATCTATATTGTCTCTTTCCTATGTGTGCTATTGAAAGCCAGTGTTACTGGTCAATGAGGATGGACAAACAGGAACTCAGCTAACGGACTATCAATTATGGGACATTCATGCACAGTATGTTGTTTTCGTATTTTTCGGCAGAAAGATCCTATGAACTTTGGTTAATCGAGAATTGATCAACAATAGTGTGGTTAATCAATAGTAGATAGACTTTGGATTACTTGAGTAACAGGTCATTGTAAAGCATGGAGTGTTTGAATAGTAGGAAATGAAGTGTACAAACTTGTAGTAGGTCGAATCTAAACGCCACGTTCTCGATGCATCTTAGATACAGTTTTCTTTTTTCATATATTAATACACTTTATTATCTACGAGACATCTATTCATCCTTGACATTCGCTACTGACCAAATGTGTATTTTTCCGCCGTTTGACAACCGATTGCCTCCATTATGATCTATTTGTTTGTAGTAATCACTCATGAACCAATTTCGAAGTGGTTTAATTTTTCTGTTTCATAGAATTTAGCTATATCACTATTATCTTTATACATGAGAAGTTCCATTCTTCGAATGTATATCACTATCAGAATGTGTTCTATGAGTTGAGCAAGTCCGGACATCTGACATTCTGTCAGTGATAGTCGAATACAGTCAGGCTTTGATAAGTGATAGAGTTGTATTTATTTGCATGCATCAATGCTGCAATAGAAAGTAACACAATGTTCTCACCTAGTTTTTGTGTTCTATTACTCTGAATAGTTAGGTTGTTCAAGTATAGAAGTGTATGTTAATAACTGGATTGGACAGCAACACACAACGTAAATTCAAGCCAGTCCAGAAGTCATCACCACCACTGAACTATTCAAGTAAAGTATCCTGTGCTTTCCACATGTAATCCTTACTACTACTACTACTATTCCGTACAGTTTCCAACCAACCATAATATTCTATCTACTTAACATGGTTTGTTGATAATTTGCTCAGGACAGGGTTGGTTGGAGAATGCTGGTGAGCGGCCTATGCTCCTTCACGAGGAGTAACATGCGAAAGTAAGTGATTGATAACTAACATTTGCTCACCATTATTCACATAATTGTAACCACGACTATACACTGTAAGTAATATGGTTGATCACTTCATAAAATTCAATAGTCATTCACAAAATTCTCTTGAAAACAAATTCGTCATTGTGTAGTTCATGTCAATATTATTAGAAAGAAGCACATACAATCACAATAGATGGTACATGTATACACACAAATAGTTTAGTATTATCTTTGTTGAGCACATCAACTAATTGACATGATCGATCGATCGATCGATCAACTAATCATTGGCACTATGATACATATGAAAATCGATTGAGTTTATCGATCTTCCCCTTGGGTGATACCGACAAGAACTACTACCGTCAAGGTCATTACACTTGCCTTGTTTAACCAGATTGATGATCTTTTATGTCAATCACAGTATAGTATGATAATGACACCATGCAGAAATCTAGTCCATGTTCAATGTAGATCATCATTCCAGGTATTTGTTGAATAAGAACAGAACATTCATGTAACCAGTAATGATGAAGTGAACTAATTCAGGACAGAATGAATTGGAGAGTATTTTATGAATTATTGATTGGTTGACATGATATTATGTAATAGTAATTAAGTGATATATATATTTTGAAATTTCAATGCTGAAATTCACCTAAACCATAGTGTAATAGTATCTATCTAGTGGTGTATTATGCTACTTATATCTGTTAATACAGGTAGTATGTAAAACCAATGAGAAGAGGCATGTAGGGCAGCAGAAGGTTATGAATGTGGAGTTGAGGAAATCAGTTACGGATATAGAAAGGAATTATGACTTGGAAGAATCATATGGGAAGTGAAGGACAAATGATGGAAATTGCAAATGAAGTAGCCGATGTATGGTTTTCATATTTCGGCAAGAGATTCTGTGATGTTGTGTTCATGTTCATAACATATGCGATCTAATAGGATTTGAAGTGCTGTTGGCACTAAGATATCGATGGGGAAGTAGATGAATTTCTGAACTGGAATGCTTTTTGATGATAATTGATGTGATTAATTGAAATGAAGTTTTTAAAATTGTAGTGTCAACAGTTCCTTGATGACCTAATCACACAAACGATGTTAATGCGGAAATATATTAGCAAGAGTAGTTACGAGAAACAGTAAGATTACGATCGTATAAGCTATAAGTTGCAGAAAAAGTTTGATTGCAGAATGTGATGATGTATATTAGTCATTCTGTTCTACAGGGAGATTCATTTTGTAATTAGGAAAGTTTATCATTTCCTTCAATTTAGAACTGATGATCGACATTGTACATTTTTAATTCACCATGAATAAAGAATTCGATGGAACTCAGTTAATTTAGGATATGGTTTGGTATATGATAATATGACTATCACTTAGGGAAATAAATGATAATGACAGTTTCATACACATAATTCCCATTATCACTTAGAAGAGAACCTAAACAAAGATTTAAATGAAACAACACGAGTTGATTTCGTCTGATTGAGTTCTCGTCAGCTGCCTACAACTTGTAATACTTATGAATCACAATCACGAAATGAGTCACATGTGGGAGTTTAGTTGGAATATGCTATTCAAACACACTGGTACAGTATAACAAGAATAGATTCCCCACATTTAATAACAATAAATTTGCAGTTTGACAAGATTTTATTCAGAACTGACGAAAATTGAGAATTGGTACCGGTTGTTTGATGATATTATTTTAATGTGAAGCAAGGGAATTTCCATTTTATCCTGTGCATTGTTGTACATGGGAAATTGTAAGGCATTTCAGTGTGGTACGAAACTGTTATTTGGTACTGTTTGGATTTCAGTTGCACTCGAACTGGTTATTAATCGTGATAGAAATATGAGAAGGGAAATCCGTATTGATGTACTAAACCTATGTCTTGATTGGTGTGACTTTACAGAATGTATACTAATATCTTGACTAAATGATCTGTTGTACAAACGCTGATTGGTCGTGTAAGATATCCTTCTACAGCACCCAATGATAGGACGAGAATACGACAGTACAACCAGCCTCTGCATCACTGGCCCTAAAATTCACATGAATAAATAATTGAATGACAGAACAATAAAGTAGCATAGATATGTTCTGAAATAAGGCCCGTACGGTACAAGAATTGAAATGATGGTGTTATGAGTAATTTGAGAACCGGAAAACCTGTAATGACAATCAATCGAAACGTAGTAATCAAAGGAGTTTGGAAATCAAATGAGCTGAATGTTATTCATTTCACATTAAGGAATAGGAGTACTAAGGTGCTTGAAAAGTTTGTCATTCACTCTTATTTGTTTCGTCCCGATTAGATTATTCAATGACTTGGATTCAGCTGACTAGTTAAACATGTGTGAGTCAATTATGTTGATAAGTGATTTAGAATATCAACATAGATTGATGAGACATTTTTTAGATTTTATTTCTATCTATATTGTTCTTAACACAAACGAATGACTACAATAGTTTAATATGAACGATAATAGTGAGATGCTAATAAACCTTTGCCAACTTACGTCGTTTATGGAGTGAGCAAGATGATTATCCATCAACCAATAAGTATTTGTATTCCAAAACGATTTGCTCTGTATTACTTTACGACAATGAAACACAGTCTTTGAAAGTAGAAGAGGTGTGTAAGTTGATGATTGTTGATCATAGATCTCTTTGAAGTATCGTTCAAGTTTCATGAAACGATCGATTGAGGAATGTTGAGATTATGTATGTGCTACTAGGCTATATGGATAAGGTCGTGAATGTTTATCAGTTAAGATAAGTAGGATAAGTGTTATGCGTCTTATTTCCTACTGTTTACTGGAACATGAGTATGTGGGAAAGAAGCTAGCAAAGCCTGACTGAAAAGTTGCATCAGTTCACGAATTCATTGACCATTGGTGTGAACCATACTGGTAGATGCGGACTATGTGATTAGGGTCTGCGCGATAATGATGCTAAGTGCCTGGAGAATTTATATGACATGTTTCACAATCGGTCACAATGGTGCAGATGAATTAACTCCTTATCTACTTCCTCATCTTGGACACCAGTATTCCTTTATGCATCGATTTTCATAAAGCCTTCTCAAACCGTATTTTCAATGCCTGTTCCTTCTCTTTTTCATTGCTACTACACTATACCAACCTCGTCAGTTAGTTTCATGGCACATCTGTGCCATACTCTACGTTGATTATGACCGACTGACTGACAAACCCGCTACTTTGGCAGTGGAAAACTAATCCAAACATAATGGCACAATTCTCGGGATTCATTAACTATTAATTTGACTGAAGTCACGGCAACTAACTGTACGCTTCGCTTATTGACTAAACATACTGAAATGAAACCAAAGATATTTTATAATAGTGAAATAACAATGGGGATATTGAGAACAAACGTCATAAAATCTCTTTATTATTATTTATTATTTATTTAAACACATAATCATTGGTACAAGGAGGCACCAAATAGATATGCGCCACATAAATCATTTGATTTGTGTGAGGGATGGGATACTGCTTGGGTGCCTAGGCTGAAGAAGGTGGTTTTCTTAGGAGACCACACCCAGAGCCTTTGACCTAAAGGTCTAATCCACAAGGCCGTGGAGTATCGTGGGGAGATGCGGTCCCATGGTAGCTGGTGACCAACGATTGGCTCATAATCCATTTTTTCCCACAGGATACTGGAGCCCATGTGCACCATTGGTTTGGGATCCGGTTAAAGCGTCAGACATTCGATTTCGTTTTCGTCCTCCCATTTTCGTAAACTACACCCCCTCCACGAGAAGGCAGTGAGTAGGATTTCCCTGGCAGAGGCTGTATACGCGTGGCTGTGTGAGATCATTTCGAAAGGGAGGGCGGGCCCACCACGCTCTCGGCCATACCAGGGCATTTGGGGGCCATCTCTAAAATCTAATGGATATACAAATGTAGTTGGTTAATCATGTATCCTTGTAAATGTTCAATGTTCCTACAATTTCACTGTCTCTGTGTGTCTCATAAACAATGAGAATAACGTTGCTCTAAATTCAAACATGACCTATTCTAATGCATAGAAGTTCATACCAAACTTAGTTATTGTTGTCATGTCGACGATAGAAACAAATGGTAAACAAAACTATTCTCTATTTGAGGAACAATGATGTTCAGTGTATGATGTAAATTAGTTGTTCATTTGAGAAGAAGTATATGAGTTGGTAACTGTATAAATGACTTTTGTGATGGGCTTTCAGTGAAAACTTCGCCATGTGGTACTCTTAGATTCTTGTCATTGTTGGTGTCATTTGTGCTATTCTACTTATCGACTAGTTATTTCACTCATTGTTTAATGCATCCGATTTGTTTGCAACAGTTTCACACACACAATTCTATCGATTACTTGTTGTGGTGGGTGTGTGTGAGTGTATTTGTATGACTACTAATCTAATTAATCCGATTTGTTGTATGTGACAGTAGGTAGTTTTGAAGGAAGTAAGGGGATTCTGTAGACTTAAGTATTGTTGTTATTCGTATTTGAGTTTATGGCGAAATAACAATTTTGAAGGAATCGATGGCCGTTCCAGATAACTCTGTAGTTCGAATTATTGCTAGTGAAGTGTTTAAACTTCGTCTCACCAATATTTGAGGATCAAATGGCAAACGATACAAACAGCTTGATATGTATTGTATTCAGGTGAATTACTTGTCAAGTAATGTATCTGATGATCAGTCGATTTGTATTGAGAACTTATCATTAACTTCATGTTTTATGACGACATCTTCGATAAACGCAGTGGTCTTATGATCAACATTGTTGATTATGTTCTAATTTATCAATAGCTAACAATTATTTGTTTGGCTAGCAACGAAATAAATGACGAGTGTTTCATTCTGTTTGGACCTCAT